AAAAAATCCAAAAATGACTCCTTCAGAAAGCAAAGAGGACCTATACAAAACAATCTAGAACTTTGTTAGGCACAATTAACGTACACGAAAAAAAAAAAGGTAGTTTGCAAAACTGTTCCGAACAAGAATTTCACTCAGAACTCTTGAGTACAATTGCTGGCTGCAAACACAACCCACCTTAGCAGAAGTTTTAAAAACAAATTCTATTAACATTAAAAAAAATGCTCAACACACATGGCTACCCACCAATATAAATAATCTTTTCGCCCATCAATTTGTCCAAGGTCTCTTTTTTTGAACTAATTGGGTACAAAAAGAAACCTAGTGTAGTGTCAGTGTTCTGTTTTCGACTCGCCACAGCATCCAAATCCACATGCGCAAAAAATGCCGCACGATTTTGGTCGAATTAATAGTGGAAATTGAGATAATGAAAAGATTAAATTATTCTATAGAAGAAACATTTCATTGCCAGCCCCAAATTCATACAAAAAACCTATCAAAGTATATTTTGTGGAGTCAGAGGAATAGTTTAAAAAAAAAGCTAAAAGTGATATTTTTTAGGTAATAAGACTAAGACGGGAACTACTACCAGGTCACGACCTTTGAATTTTATAACATGTGGTTCTCCAAAATTAATGAAAATTCCCAAACAATATTTGACAGTGATAAGGTTCTTCTTAACAGCCAACAAGGCTCCATACCCTTTAAAACAACTACATCAGATCGGTACACAGCCAATATAAAAGACAGGGTTTCAATATTCCTGCAGCAACGTAGTATCATGCGCGGCGAAATCAATGTTCCACGCTCCCACAGTACACATTACGAAAAGAAAAGAAATTCTGCTTTACCTTCCGCTTTACCTTCCCCAGTGCCAATCTTCGCCCAAGAGGATCTTTCAGAGCTAAATGAAATAAGACGTCGCAAAGACAGTGTAACGTAACGTCAAGGCCAAAGAACTACCAGACTCTATGTTTTAAGCAAACTACATCCCAGTGACATAAACAGTAAAGAAAGAAGAGAAATGAGAAACTATCACTTCGGTTCAGACAACAAAAGAACTCCTCTGACATTATCCGTTAAACTGGTTTGAACACTGCAACCGTGCTGAAGACCTCATTTGAACAAGTACCGTCAGATCTTCTAAAGCAGAAGCTGTTTTAAAACCTGAAAAGGAATTCCACGACGATAGCGAAGACGGAGCATCCACACTGTATGAAAAAACCATCTCTAGTTGCCCCTCAATTAAAAGAGGTATTCAAAAAATGGAAAAAGTAACCTTGAGAAAAAAAAATCTCAACGAAAATAAAGAAGGGTGATGCAAATTAAGAAAGGTGCAATACAGTTAAAACATGGTAACAAAAAGCGGAAAACACTCAAACCAAAGATGTGTAGCTGTTATGATTCTATAGCTAAAGTTTTCATTTTACCTCCAGCTAGACTTTGCCTCGTAATCCCTTCATCTTTTTTGAAGTCGATTACTTCCCTCACATTCTAACAACCGTTTTAAATTGAAAAGCAAGTGGTTTATAAAATGGTAAAATAAAACTTAGACACCTCTAAACAGAAATTTCTATAGTACCATTCATTAATCTTCCTGTATACAACTAAAGCACTGTGATCAAAGGGGTGTTTTTGGGCAATCCAGAAGATGATTAAGTATGCGTAGAGGAGACGAAGAACTGCATTGTAACCTCCCAGATTCCATGGTTCGTGGTTACAAAATGCCCACCCCATCCATTACAAAACCCGCTGACAATAAAGTATCGCTGTGAAATGACAGAAGGATTAAAGCTACATTTTAACAATAGACCGTCAGAAAGTCAGCAATAAATAAATGGGCGATTTCAGAACTTTAACAGATGGGTTGCGTGGATCGCAAGTCCTGTATACAAAAAATGAAGCTAAGCTGACGACCAAAGAAAATATATTCGGGGGTCGGCCCACTTAACTGCAACAGAACCCAAGATCACTTGCCCTATTAAGTGACCTTACAAACCTTCAACAGCCAAGTATCAAAAATAAAACGTAAAAAAAGAGAGCCTCAAGCAAAGCGAACTTCTATCACTTATAAACCAACAAAAATAGTAAAAGAAGCCACATCCCTGCAAAAATCTCAGTAAGGGTATTAACATTTATCAAACGCTAGTAATCTGCACTATAAACTTGGCTAACAGAATCGTGTCAAAAAAAAAAATTACAGACAAATCCCCAAATAAAAGCCAGTCAAAGAAGCCGTAACCCAGACAAGTCATTTGCATCGCAATCGGCCAAAGACGCTGTCCTACCCCTTGCAAAATCCCTACCGATACATTTGAAACCAACTTAAGAAAGAACCTTTTTATATGTACTCATATTGAACCTACATTTATACTATATAAGCTCCATCCCCTTGGCATAATTTTCACACTTTTACACTCCTCAACGTCTTACAGCAACCGCAAAGCACAGTTCCAATGCAGCGAATGGGCAGCCCATTTCCTGGAGCATCGAAGAGAGAAAAAAATGAAATAAAACTAAGTTTCAGATGCGGAGCGAGGACATTTATACGAACAACCAAAGTTCCACTGACTGCAACCTATAAACTAAAAAACATCGGCCTGGCGTCCAGCCAAAATCAGCACATTTACGTGGAGCCCACAACGAAATTCAAAAGATCTGCTTCTCTCCCAACAGCGAACTATTTACTGCCACTTTCTTACCGAGCGGGTGAACAGCCCCATCAACGCTACTTTACCGGTATGTTACAAACATTTGCTGCAAGTAATAAAAAAAAAATTAGAGCAAGTCTCAAGTGATGTAATATGATCGCTATGGATCTATAAAGTAAAGCAACCTTTTACTTTTCGAAACTGCTAC